TTCTTTAAAAAACTCCTGAAAATGAAATATTTTTGTATTCTTTTAAAGTAAAAGACAAAATTTCAGTAATTACTGTGCTTTTGCTTTTATTTTTCAGTCTCTTTCTCCAGGATTCTCTTACTACCAAAAATTTCATACACTTCTGTCCAAAATACATTTAGTTATATTATCAATATTTTGTATGAGAAACATTATGTTTTATTTTCATCATTAAACCATCAGTAAAATTTTGGTTATTATCAAAATTTTCAAGTAAGTTAAATGTTATTACAGGTTCTAATTGTTAACTCAGCACTGACTAATATTGTAAACGAAACCTATGTAGATGTCTCTGTTTGAAAAAAAAATGATGGAGCCATTATGACAGTATTTTCATAATGTTTTTTTTTTTATTTATTTTTAATATTGAAGTAATTTGCACAAAATAGCAAAATCAAAGCAGTTAAACAATGAGGTGAAAGCACAAATTGAAACTTTATTCAAAGAAGGCTACTTTCAAAGACAAATTGCCAAGAAGTTGACCATTACTAGACCTGGAGTGCAATATTCATTACAAAGGCAGTTAGAAATAGGTGCAAATATCTGACAGAAAAAAAAGAGCAGGAGCATCAAAAGTGACAACTGCTGCTGAAGATAAAGACTTGATTATTGAGAGCAAAAGAAATAGAAGAAAAACTGCTCCAGACTTGACAGCTGAACTTAATTACTTTTGACAGCATCCAGTTTGAAAATTGACTTAGATCAGCGGGGGTGAGTGAGTGCATTAAATACTAAATTATGTTTAAAAAAAGGTATAAAATTTGAAAATTATGACTTGGCCACCTTAATCTCCTAACCACTCTCCTATGGGATGAATTAGATAAGTGAGTTTGAAGAGAATATCCAAAGAGTGAGAGTGAACTTTTTAAGTGCTTATAGAATACTTGGAAAGGTCTGCCACCTATTTTTTTTTCAAAAACTGTTGGAAAGAATGACAATAATTTGTAAAGCAGTAATTAAGGCAGTTGATGGTTTTATTGATGAAAAGAAAATATGATACTTTTGCTTGATAATTTTTTATGATATATACTTACTTTTTGTCAAAATAATAGCAAATAAACTGTAGCTAGTGAAATTTTATCTTTTACTTTAAAAAAATAATTTTAAGGTGATTTTTTTTTTTTAAATAAATTGTTTGGTGGCCACAAAACTTTTATACATAGAGTTTACCCTGAAAATTTTATCAACATTATTGAGTAATACTAAATAACGCTGAGTCATGTTAAATCACTATAACTAAAGTGGGAAGCACATGTAATTGGAAAGGAAAATAATGATATATATGTTGACTTTCCATACAGTCTTAAACAAAAGGTTAAGAAGGAAACTACCATCAGTACTAGAAAGAGTGTTAACATTTTGTAAACTTGAGTAGCCTATTTACCAATAAACTGTTTTAAGAGACATATTTTTATAAATTCTGACTGTCAGTAATGCCAACTTTTTGGTCAACAAATCCTAAATGTTTTCTGAATAGGAACATCTATTCTCACTGTGACCAATATAAGATTTATTTTGTCAGCATACTAAAGCCCAACACTCCCCAAACCAACTATTATCAATAATGATAGATCTATTTCTTATATAAATATAAGTTTACCAACTGGAATGTTTACCAACATCGGTTGATTAATAGTAATTTTCTTGTGAAAACATTGACTTCTATAATAAAACCTTAAAGAATCCATATTTTGTTCCATGCATTGCCTTCTTGTATATTGTTCTGTGCAGGCATAATAATCACTTTCAAAAATAAAAAAAAAAGAAACTGAATAAATATAGTATAGTTTTGTCTGCATCTATAATTGATGATATAAATGCATAGATATATATTTGTTGATTTCCGCCTCAATGTCTGCATCTATCTGAATCGATTATGTGGGAAAGTGTTGACAAAGGGCCTCAGATGAATCATTATGAAGAGAATTATTCCTGCTGACAAAAACAACAATTATCCTCTGTTATTTTCATTGTATCATTGTTATTTGTCTTTCATTTGTAACACTGATCTTATGACATACTTGATCAGCCAATCAAATCACTTACAGAGAATTCAAAATACGAATTCAAAACATCATAAAAATTGACAGACTTCGCATTCCCAAGGTTTTGCAATTCATGTGGACCACTGCCATTGATATCTGATATATTTTTCATTTTATTTTTATTTTGAGGTCTTCTACAAAATTTCCTTGTCTGATGTTGGCCCCAAATGCGATCAAGGTCAGAGTGAAAAGAAAAAGAAGTCATATTTATATACACACATGCAAGAAGGTTATAAAAATAATAATCTTCCTGGAGGCTCATGGAATTATATTTGAAGCTGGTTTTAAAAAATTGAAAACTGCAACTACAATAATGAAGAATTTGCTGCTTTAGACCACAGTAGGATTTGGGTGAGGAGATGATTTGAGAAAAATGGAATTGTGTATTTCTCTCCTGCAAGCATCCCTGTGTCTATATGTATAAGAACAAAAAGTTATCTATCTATCTATCTATCTATCTACCTATCTATCTATCTATCTATCTATCTATCTATCTATCCTTTTACCTTTTCAAACAATCTATTTTTCCCTTTTTGATCTATCTCAGTTTATTCATATCTATGTATTTCAGTTTATTCATATGTGTGTATCTATCTATGTTCATATCCTTCAATCTATCGATCTATCTATTGCAGTTTTTCCATATCTGTCTTTCCTCGTCTGTTCATATCTATCTATCTATGTTCATACCCTTCAGTCTATCAATGTATCTATTGCAGTTTTTCTATATCTATCTTTCTTGTCGGTTCATATCTATCTATCTATCTATCTATCTATCTATCTATCTATCTATCTATCTCAATCTGTTTCTATCTATCTATCACAGTCTGTTCACATATGTCCATCCATCCATTTATTGCAGCCTGTCTATTATCTATTATTCTGTCTGTCTATGTTTATATCCTTCAATCTATCTATTGCAGTCTGTCAGTATCTATCTTTCCTAGTTTGCTCATATCTATCACAGTTTGTCCCTATCTATCTATCTATCTATCTATCTATCTTTTTTTCTTTATCTATCCATCTATCTATCTATCGATCTATCTCAATCTGTTTCTATCTATCGCAGTCTGTCCACATATATCTATCTATCCATCAATTTATTGCAGTCTGTCTATTATCTATTATTCTGTCTATGTTCATATCTTTCAGTCTATCTATTGCAGTCTGTCTGTATTTGTCTTTCCTAATCTGCTTATATCTATCACAGATTGTCTTTATCTATCTATCTATCTGTCTATCTAAGTTTTTTCTTTATCTATCTATCTAAGTTTTTCTTTATCTATCTATCTATCTATCTATCTATCTATCTAAGTTTTTCTTTTTCTATCTATCTATCTATCTATCTATCTATCTAAGTTTTTCTTTTTCTATCTATCTATCTATCTATCTAAGTTTTTCTTTATCTATCTATCTATCTATCTATCTATCTAAGTTTTTCTTTATCTATCTATCTATCTATCTATCTATCTATCTATCTATCTATCTACCTTGAACTGTTCATATCTATCTTATCTAGGCTCTTTATACCTATTGTCTTGTAGCGATTTCATTATCACATGAAATAAAAAAAATAATCTAATTTTCATGACTCCATAGAAAAAAAGGAAACCATCCTACTGGAAGGAAATTTAGAGACTTCCTTCTTTTCAGCCGGGTCCTTGCAAGCAAAGCATATGGAATTGAGCAGTTCCTGATATTAAGATCACAGGTAAGTCAACTTACCCAAATATCACTTCCTCATGTTTAATATTTCCTTTACTTATAGATTTATCACTTCCAGACAATCTATTCATTCACCAAAATAAGCACTAACCAGAAATATTCCATTTGCATCTACATTACAAGAACTTTCATACATCTGCCAAACTTGTACAATAAAACCATTCTGATATATATATATATATATATATATATATATATATATATATATATATATATATATATATATATATATATATATATATATATATATATATATATATTATAAATGTCTCACTTTGTTGTTGTTGTGATGAATATATGTCATATTCTACTGTAGGGATACAAATGGGAATTGTCTCCCTTTCATTGAGATAGTCAAATGGCTCATGTGACAGCCGATAAATGATGTCAGGAGATAGAATGATGAAGGGTAATTGTGATGTATAGAGCCCAGAGAAGAAGGACTTGCAGTAACCCACAGCAGTCTTACAGGAAAAACCACATGGCCTAAACAGGTTCATAGAGAAACCAGGGTAACTCCAGTTTTCGCTTCAGGAAATATTACAAGTATGGTTCTCCTTTCTTACACACTGTTTGTTGTTGTATATATGTTATAAATTCTCTGCATGGGACACATGTATATACCTAACTTTGTGTACAATGTGGCATTATAAAACTCTCTCTGAAAAGTAAGCATGTTTGACATTGTTTTTCCCTTCAGCCATACAGATACTCATATATAATAATGCCCATAATACAAATAGGAGAATAAATCATTCTTTCCTAGCTCTGCTCCCATTAGACTACTAACCAAAAACAGGAGTCGAGCAAGGCCCATCATAACAATTTTATATTTATGAAAGTTAACTCATAAAAACATAAAAAGACATTTCTTCTTTTATATAATGAAGAAAAAGGAATATTTATCATTTACTTACCGATGACCAACTTGAAGTCATCCATTTCAAGCATGGGATTTTGCATTTTTTTCTCTCTGGAGGTTTTACTGAAAAATTACACCAAATACTGTGAACAGGAGATTTGTGTGGAGAGAATGAATCCATACAGTAGACAACACGGCTTTGGTTACCATCTCCACATGATTGATAAGGGTTGATTATCTCACACTGAAACAATAATAAGAGGATAATTATTAAATTACATATTATTATGGATTATCATTATATATAAATCATTATATTATTATTATTATTCTTATTATTATAAATTATATTATTATTATTATATATAAATTATTAAATTACATATTATTATAGAATTATTTCATTTGATTGAAATGTATTTACTTAAGGCAGTGTGTCTCAAATTTTTTTACTCTGGATCAAATTTTCGGAATGAAAGTTTGCTTACACCTTACCAAATTTTATATGATAAAAAGCACATTTAAAATTAAAAACTGTGAGTGAGTTAAAGGAAGATAACCAAGGATTTGAAATCAAAACATTATCATTGATAACTCTCTCCTCCAACTTACAGACCCTAGTTACTATATTCTTAATACTTGATATAATGCAAACATATCACAATGTTAAAATCACTCAATAATTATTTATAACTATTTACACTGCGACTCATGCACACAATTACAAGTAATCCATGATAATATTTTAAATTTTGAAATCATATCAATTTCTGGCATATGGATTTTTTAAAACTATTTTAAAACTATTTCTAAATCTTTGATTGTCTTTCAATCATTCCACTTCACCTGCTATCCTCTTCCACCACAATTGTGACGTACCATTTGGGAACCACTGGCTTAAGGCTCTTCTATAAATGTCATCCAGCTGACTACGAAATGTTTAAACTGTGGATTATCCCCTCAGAGGTTTGATGGTTTTGCCAAGCGGACAAGAATCTATAAAAATGAGACACTTCTGGTCTTCATCCTCTTTTCTCTCTTTTCCACCAAGCATGCTGTACTGACAACATCCACAGGATCTTTTTCCCGAGGAAGGAGATATCCTCACCACCAGTGATTGAACACCACTCTCTCTCTCTCTCTCTCTCACACACACACACACACACACACACACAAGCAAATGTGTATCATCCAAACATGTATATCACCCACACAATCCCATGCTTTTAACCTTTAATATTCTGGAGGTGATTTTGTTTGCAAAGCAAAAAATTTATCCTGCCACTGCAAGTGACTCAGATGAATGAATGATAGTGTATTTGAATTTTGCAGTTGTGTTATCATATCCTGCTATGGCAACAGAAAATGACCATGACTGAAATTAAGTAATGCATTAGAGGAGTCTTGAAAAACAATGCAGTGGAAAGGAAAGTAGTGAATAATGCAGAGTGTTAAAGGTTAATGCCCTTCTTCTTCTGCATGCTTACTTGCATATTTTCTTTCTTCTTATTCAGTTAGATAAAAAACAAAATATAAAATATTGCCTATTTACACTAGTTACAGTGTTCAGATGAATAGAAGAAAGAAAACAGAAAGCAAAGATTGAAATGTTTAATGGCTGTTTCATTGAAAAATTAAACCTTGTCAATTTCAAATTTTTCCATTTCCACCCACTTCTGTGGATATTTTATTGTCGTAGAACTCACAATGAGGTTATTCAATCATGAAATTATTCAATCATGACTTAAGATTCATCAGAAAATTTAAATAGGAAAACTGAAATTTTCATGGGTCTTTCTTTCTTTATCATTCAATAAAAATAACTGGTTTTCATGGTTTTCCTATTTAAATTTTCTGATGGGTCTTAATTCATAACTCATAAGTTAATCATTGAATAAGCTTATGGCTATTTCTGTGACAATAAAATATCCATAAAAATTCCCCTCTCACATCGCAAAATATTTGAGCTTAAAAGCTTTAACAAAATGTTGCATAACAATTATAAATATGAATGCTGGTCGTTATTTTGAGAAGTGGGTACAAATGAAAAGATTTGAAATTGACAACTTTTCCAACTGAATCAACAGTTAAACCCTTCTAGCATACCTTCTTTCTTTCTTTCTTTCTTTCTTTCTTTCTTTCTTTCATTTTCTCTCTGAAACCAAGTAGTGTCTTTTCAAAATGGAATAGTTTTTATTATTTATAAGGTAGTGGCAGAACATAATGGTCATGCAAACTCTAGGAAGAGTGAGACAAGTGCAATTAAAATAGGATAATAATAATGAATGCCAACTCACTGATGTGGTTGTTTCTGGTGACCATAATATCAAGGTCAAAGAAATTGACAAATTAAGAAAGTTGACTGAAGACTGAAGACTGAAGTTGTTGGAACATGGGATATATTCAGATTCACTATTGTACCAGTTATCATGAAAGTGCTAGGGTCAAGATCACTGAACATAAAATCATACATTAAGAAAATTGGAATAAAACCTAATATCACATTACTTCAGAAGTCTGCATTATCTGGTGCTGCATATATTCTGTGAAAAGTGTTTCCCGTCCAAAATCGTACAAATTGATGGCAAGCACCCATAATTCAAGGTCTCTGGATTGAAAATGTAAAACCATTAGAAAGAAAAAGCTATGTTTTTTAAAAATCAATTCACCCCAGGTTAGGTGATAATGCCACTAAGATGCAAGAGATTACTGCGAGTGAAGAGACTTTAGAAGCCAGAAACCCAATCGTAGACAGAAAACAAGTTATAAACATTTACTTCTGTTCGAAAGAACAGGGAGCAATGTTTAGAGATGAATGTAATTTGAGAAAAGAAAATGAAAAGAAAAGACATAGTGTTTAACATTCTTTCGACAGTATGTTTGTCTTCCCCAGGTTATATTTAAAAATTGCGTACAAGTATTATACTTATATGCAATTTTTGATTTTAATGCTTATTTAAAAACTTATACCTGATGCATAACTTATTAAAAGAAAAAAATTTTAGTTCCAACAAATGATTTATTTTTATGGAAATATTTCAACTAGCAGTTGCCAGTCTTGGTCACTCTTATATTTGAGTAAAAACAGTGCAAAGAAGCGTGGAACGCTTAAGAATTCAAATCAAGGAAAACAAACTGAGTTGATGACATTTACAGCGTAAAAGAAATTTGAAGTGTGAAAAAAAAAAGGATTTTTGTTTTTTACTCTATAAATTGCCTTTTTTTTTGTCATATCATATTTTTCTTTGGAGCAGAGACGTCAAATTAAGGAGTAACAAAGACCGTCAACTGCTAGTCAAAATATTTCCATAAAATAAACTATTCGTTGGAATTACAAGTTTTTCTTTTAATTATACAACTAACAACAGAGACAAGCATCCTATCATTGGTGTATAACCCTTTAGTTTAAACGAAGTGGTAGCCTCTATTAGCGTCCCTGCTATGGGCAAATAATGAACCCCCAAATAAAATTAAAACTCTGGAAGTATAAAAAATACATTTTTGTAGTAAAATTACCAACCAATACCGATTTATATTAAAATTACCAACCAATAACAATTTATATTAAAATTACCAGCAATACCTATTTGAAGTAAAACGACCAACAATACATTTTATATAGTTGAAGTCATAAAATTGCATTCTAAATATTTAAATTTTGGCATTAAATAGAGGTTGATATGCCACTAAACAACATCACCTAACCGACTTTAGTTTCACCAACTCAAACATTTACTGTAATGAATCTCCATGCTATTTCCATGCAGTAGAATACCTCTTATTTCTCTGTGTTCCAAACGTAAGAACAAAAGTTTCCCTCTGACAGCTTTTTCCCAAGAACATCTATTTTGTGAAAGAGCCACCAATATGGGTACTTCCTTGAATACTTTAATATCGACCAATTCAATGGCAATCATTATCTATCCTACTTATCCTTATAATTTTTTCTTTTTTAATGATTACACACCCAAGCAAGGCAATAAAGCCACTAAGAAGAGGACACGCATACTGTCAAAACATTGTTAAACACTATGTCTTTTTTTCTTTTTTTCTTTCTTAAATTGCACTGTTCACTGAGTGTTAAAATATATTGGAAGCAATACATCATTTTGTTTAATTATTATTTTATTAATAATAATAATAATAATAATAATAATAATAATAATCATATAATAATTGTGCTTCTCCCTCCCTTCGTGAATTCCTGAGTTTGCACGACCATTATGCCCAGCCAATACCTCATAATTAATGGACAGTTCCATTTTGATCATTTGGAAAGAGAAAAGGCATATCAAAGACACTACTTGGTTTCAGTGAAAAAATGGAAGAAAGAAAAATAGAAGTGTTTAACATCTTCTGCAAATCCTCATAAATAATGAACTGTTTAAATTTTGATGAGAAACAAAAATCATTTTAAAGAGATAATTGGTTTCAGTAAGAAAATTAAATAAAGACAAGGAGATAGAAAAGAAATGGAAAAAGTTGTCACTTTTAAATCTTTTCATTTGTACCCCCTTACTTCTTTAAATAACGACCAACATTCATGTTTATGATTGTTATTACAGTATTTTGTTAATGTTGTTAAGCACAAATATTTAACGATGTGATAGGGGAATTTCTATGGATATTTTATTGTCATAGAAATTGCCAAGAGCTTAGTCAATCACTAACAGAAGAATTAAGATACATCATAAATTTAAATAAGAAAACCAAGAGATTTTCATGAATTCAAGCAAGTAAATACAAAATATATATAATTTAACAGATTGAGCTTACAGCCAAGTCATGTTGTTCATGTTCTAGTTCATGTTCAATCACTGAAGTTAAGCAACACTGAACCTGGTCAGTGCCTTGATTGATGATCATTCGGGAATACCAGGTGCTGTAAGCTTGGATGCGTAGGTGATGTAATGAATAAAGTTTCAGAGTGAGAAATCATAGATCCAAGTTCAAATTTCTTATATTAACTAATAATAATAATAAAAATATCAAATACCCTGATGCTAAACCAGGAATAGGTTTTTTTGCTTAAATGCATTAAAGCCATAATTATCTTTTAGATATAACTCGCAGTAGACACCGGTGTTGCCCGGGGATGTAACAGTAAGAGATAGATCAAGTATCGACCATCATAAAGACTGAAAAATAAAATTGACAAAGATTATTGTTTAAGGTTGACGGACACGCATGTCTTAATTAGTTTTTTTTTTTTTATGAATTGGTCAAACCCAAACTCAAACAAAAACATTGTTTTCAATCATTATGAGTCTATCGATTGAATAGAATTTTATTATGAACAATTGTCTTATAAATGGAATTTTTAAAGCATTCTGAATGTAAAAATAAAGAAAAAGTGTGCAAGACAATAAGAAACACTACCTGCCAAAAAAAGTGAAGTTTTGTTGAAATCAGTTGAAAAATGTAGGAAATCCGATCCCATATATAAATGAACACACACACACACACACAAACAACCTGAGTTTTATAAGTATAACTCGATATGAGTTGTCCCCCTTTCATTCTGGCAACAGAATCGTGTTTTATCATGTTTTCAAATTGATTTCATGTAAAAACAATTGTGTTTTTCCAATTTTTGGTGCTGTCAGAACCACTGCAAGGTAATTTTACGCAGTCCTGTGAAGTTTTGTTGAAATCGGTTGAAAAATGTAGGAAATCCGATCCAATATATAAACGTACAGACACACACACACAATCTGCATTTTATAATAAGTAAGATTTCCAATGTCTCAAGTCCAGTAGAATCTCCTGTTTCAAGATATGGATTCTGACTGATGACTTAATACATCGAGTTTAAAACTATTTAAGTCAAAAAGAACTTACTTGTGTCCAATTCCTGCTCGTCCATTGGAAGCGAACTGGCATTGTTTTGTTCTTCTTTGATAGTTTCTGATTTCCAGCCACATTTTCTTGAGACATGCTTGTTGCTACTGGTTTGTGTTCAGTCGTGTTTTGATGGCTAACGCCTTTACCTTTACCAGATTTATTTGTCTTATTGATGTGTCTATGTGAAAACTTATCATCTGCTCTTGTCTTCTTTCTTTGCGAATTCTTCCTGTGTCGCTTATCAAAAAGAAATTGTCCATTGTATTTTCCGCTTACATCGCTGCTGTGATTTTTCTCTACCTGGTTTTTATTTTGACGGGCATCTTTGCTTACACTGCTGTTTGTGGGTAAAGGTAAGGTAGGTGTGGTGCGAGAAACTGTAGTGCTCCTTTGGGTGGTGGCTGTTGTTAATGTTGTAGTTGTTGCTGTTGTAGTCATTGTTGTTGTTGCTGTTGTTGTTGTAACAGGAGTTGTCTTTATCGTTGTTACCAGGGTTGTTTTTGTTGTTGGAATTGTGGTAGGGATCCTTGTCATAATTTTTGTGATCGTAGTCGTTGAACTAGCCGGAGTGCTTGTTGTAGTGGAGGGAGCCTGTGTTGTACATGCCTGGAGATTACAGCTCTCTTCTGAGCTGGGTTCTACCTCAAGATCACAATGCTTGCTGCCAATACAGGCAACTCTGCGATATTGTACTCCTCCACCACAACTTCTGGTACACTGCAAATACAAAGTACGAAACAGTTGATAAGATACAGGTAATTCAGTCAAATGCTGGAGAATGAGTTTTTATCATAAAACTGCAATATCAAAATTTTTAAAACACTATCACTAATACCTATGAAAAAGGCATAAATCCATTTCTCCCTAACTCTAGGTTTATAAGAGCGCTAGTAGAATTCACTAGCTTGGTTGGCAACCAGTCTAAGGGAATGAAAAGAGTGAATTCCAAACCACAGAAGAGGCAATGGGAAACCAGTCCACTATCATTCTCAAGAAAGCATGACAATTCATGGATAAAAAAAAAATAAAAAAAATGGAATCTGTGGAGAGCCATGATCACTACTCAGTTGTAATAATCAACCAGACTAGCTCATGAACCTTACAACATAATTCCTAACAGTATTTTTTGATCAAATTTTGTGTGAAATTGGAGTAGCTTCTTCAATGAGGCATATTATAAATTAAGTTTTGATTTGTTTAATTTATTTTTTACAATTTATCAGCCATTTATGTTTTTTTTTTTAAAACCAAAATGTATTTTGATTGTGAGAATTCTTTTTTTGCAAGTGGATTTAAGAATTTTTTCAGAATAACAATAATTCTTCCAGATGCAAGTTCTACTATTTAACCCATAGCTGGGGGGGATAGATTGCAAAGTTTTAGCAAAAATAGTAACAGATAGGCCACATGTCTAATATCAAAAATGTAGAAATTCTAGGGCACCTAATGAGGAAAGAGGGCTTGAAAAATTTGGTACTCACAGGTAAAAGGGACAAAGAAAAACAATGCGTGGACTACTTAGTGAGTTTGAGTAAATGGATGGCAGAACAAGGTTTAGGATAGATAATAAAAAGACAAAATTTATTAAGCATTTCACCCCAAGCAAGGTGGGAGTGCCTCTACCATGAAGGGGGTTACAGAGAGTGAAGGTGAAAGAAAAGACTGGGTACAAGAGGGAGTTGAAGCAAAACATATTGAGAGCTATGGGGGGAATTGAAGCAACACTTATCGAGAGCCATAGTGGGAATTGAAACAAAACTTATCAAGAACCATAGGGAGAATTGAAACAAAATTTAATGAGAACCATGAACGGAATTGAAACAAAACTTATTGAGAGCCATAGTGGGAATTGAAACAAAACGTATTGACAACCATAGTGGGAGTTGAAAACAAAACTTATCAAGAACCATAGGGGGAATTGAAAAAAAACTTATTGAGAACCATGAATGGAATTGAAACATAACTTATCGAGCCATAGGGGAAATTAAAAGAAAACTTATCGAGAGCCATAGGGGGAGTTGAAACAAAACTTATCGAGAACCATTAGAGGAATTGAAAACAAAACTTACAAGAACCATAGGGGGAATTGAAACAAAACTTTTTTAGAGCCATAGGGGGAATTGAAACCAAACTTATCAAGAACCATACAGGGAATTGAAATAAAAATTATTGAGAACCATAGGGGGAATTGAAACAAAACTTATTGAGAGCCATAGGGGGAATTGAAACAAAACATATTGAGAACCAAATATCCTTTTGAATTATGAATCCACCTATTTTCCCTCCAGCTAGTTAATAACATGATAGACTTGACTTTCTTGATTTGGTTGGCAACTAATCTATGAGAAGGAAAACTCTCAATTTAAAACTACATGGGTGTGAGCCTAGATAACCTACAAAACCTACTTGCTATAGAAAACACTGCAGTAACACCTAGAGTGGTGAGGCTGTGGGTTTAACATGGTTGTGACCTGATATTCCAGAGGGGAGTCTACTGAGTTAACATAATATACAACAACAGATAACAGTAAATAATATTTGAGCTCCTGAACACTGTTGAAAATTTCAATTTACCAAAGGTTTATTCGTAACTTGAAAGTTTGTAGGTAGGGAGTGCCTGATCAGTTTATTGCAGTAAAGAAGACGTCAATGTGCATTGTATCTGCATGAAACTTACAACAAAAAATGAAACAAAAGGCACATGTTATAAAAATAGTGCAAGTGAAAATAAGACAGGCCACAAAAGCAGAACAATGAAACAAGGAAAGAGAAAAGAATCAACTAATTATTGGGGAGTCTGGCCTGAAGCTGTGTTCATGTCAAACAGAAATCACTCAGGTGAGCAGGTTGGTGACATTGAAGAAGAGAGAGAGTGCTTCTTTAGAAAGAGATCAAAACTTTACAGTTTGCAAGGAAAGGTGTTATTCTGGAATCATAATGAGGTCTGTGAAAAATAAAGGACATTTTTAATGATATTTTCCTGCAAAAGAAAGAAAGAATAATAATGCAGAACTGAAAAAGACAAATAAAACTAACGATAGTAACAGAAATATTAGATGTTTCCTTATAAGGAAACATTCACTATTTCATTGACCAAGAAATGAATGCTACTTGAGTTACACTTGTCATAGTTCCCTGGCAATCAAGTTGGGATCAAAGTGTAATATCTGTTCTCCTCATCTTTAATGTTAATGGTTATATTAGCCATTTCTTTATAAGGAAATATTTGACATTCATTGACCGAGTAGCAAGTGCTAATAGAGTTACATTTGTCTCCATATACACCAAGCTGGAATCAAAGTGTTGTGTCTCTTCTTCTTATCTCTAATAGTAATATTAGATGTTTCCTTATAAGGAAATATTTGGCATTCATTGACCAAGTAGCAAGTGCTACTAGTGTTACATTTGTCTCCATATACACCAGGCTGGAATCAAAATGTTGTATCGCTTCTTATAGGAATATTAGATGTTTCCTTATAAGAAAATATTTGGCATTTGTTGACCAAGCAGTCAATGCTACTTGAGTTATGCTTTTCTACATGGCCTAGACATCAGGCTGGGATTAATGTGTAGTATCTGTTCTGCACACTTCTAATGGTAATTGTAATATTAGCTATTTACTTATAAGGAAATATTTGACATTTGTTGATTTTACTCCAAAATCTAGAATGATTGATAAGAAGTAGTGCGGAGCCATGAATTCTCTTATCCTGAAGAGACAGTACATATAAAAAGAAAAACGATATTGTACATTGAGAGTACATACAGATCTCAGACAAAGAATTAAAAAAATGTCCTTCCTTGGGGGTAAAAATAATATCTGCAAAATGAATATTAAAAGTTGATTCTAAATGAAAGTAGTGGAGAGCCATGAATTCCCTTTCCCTGAAGAGACAGTACACATAGAAAGGAAAAAGAGAAAGATATTGTATATTAATATTGAGAGTGAATATGAATTTCAGAGAAAGAATCAAAACGTCCTAACTGGGGGCAAAAAGAAAGATCCTCACTCCAACACGTTAAACCAATCAGCCCATTAGAGATTTTAATTGTTAAATCCTTGGACTCCAGACTAAACTATTGTCATGATTGAAAATTTGAATATGTGATGTTAGTACAATTCAGTTGCTATATCTGAAAAAAAAAAAAAAAAAAAAAAAAACTATGAAAATCAAGTATTATAAGTTGATTTTAGAAGAATGTAAATTGAGTTCTTTTTCGAATTTAGCCTCCTTGGTTATGAGATAGAGTTTGGGAAATCTACAATTTTGTTAAAGTTGTAGATTTAAAAAAAAAAAAAATATTTCTGACACCTCTAGTATTCAGGTAGTGGTTCTTAACCTGGGGGTGTGAGGATATTTAATTATTATGGTTGGTTTCTTAAGGAAACTCTAGGGTTTGGAAATCTGACATAAAAGTTTACATTGTGGAAATTTTACCATTTGCTACCATCATAATAGTGTAAATGGATACTTAAGGAAAAACAAAAACGAGTAAAAATTGCTGGTAAAACTGCAGTAAAGTTGGAAACCCTAGTGTTTTCATGTCTGTGAGGAAAGTTTGGGAAACACTTCTCAGATGTCTTTACAGACATAACCAGTTATTGATACAGATTTCTCTCTCTTCAAAGAATATGTTTAAACGTAGATCATTTTTATGAGCAAATGCTTCCTTATTTTCCCAAGAGAGGCTTTAATTCACTAAGAAATATAATTTGAGGAAATAAATAAGAAACTAATAGAAACTATGTCAATAAAAAAGTAGAAATCTTTCTCTGAAGGAGGGCGAAAAATCTGTCTGTTTAAACCGGTAGTTCTTAATGCTGGTACCTGACTTGGGCGCAATATCAGTTCATAGGGTGTTTGAGGATATTGAACTATTAGGGTCGGTTTATTAAGGAAACTCTAGTGTAGGGTTTGGCAATTTGACATAAAAGTTTACATTTTAGAAATTTTACCAATTGCTACTTCTCATGTGGAGAGCTGCAAACCTGAGACAACTGGATTCAGCGACCTTTTAGGCAGAATTTGGAAGATGTTGATGATGACAGCAACATCAAGGAAGATCTCATCTATCTGAGAAACAATTGTGGCATTCAAATGGCATTTACTGATGACCATCTGGAGCATTTCTGGAATCTCAGTTGGAGACATATCCTGTATTGGCAAAAAATCTCTCGCTGTGCTGGTACCTTTCACAAATACATACCTGTGCAAAACTCAATTTCCCTGTCTGCTTCACGCCAAAACCAAAAGCAGAAATTGACTGGTTCCTCAACACAACATGCGAGTAGCACTCAGTACCTCAACACCATGATTTGATGTCATCATGAACGGAAAACAACAGCAACAAAGTCACGGAGTTGGTTGCTCAACCAGAATCATTCCCAACATGCATATTACAAGCACATATGACCATTGTTTTATTTTTTTTTTCTAATATGAATATAATCTGGATTTTTTAATCCATTATTTTGTTTTCAGTTATGTGAATAAAGATTAAAGAAAGACAATGTTTTTCTTATTTACACTTAAGATCAGTATTGTTTTCCATCAATTCTGGAAGTGGGTGGGAGAATGGGTTGGTGGTTTGTAAGGGGTGCAAACAAGTAGAAAGGTTAAGAATCACTGTTTTAGGCTGAGGCTATCTGTTATGGCCTTGCTAGGGCCAGAAATAAAGACACAAGAGAGGAATTGAGTTAAACAAATATGATAACAGAAACAGTAATACAAACATATACGAACGAGAGTGTTACAGCAAGAATGTTCGGTCCGACTGTCAGAGCTGACTACTGGAATATTTCCTCTCCAAAAGGCAGTACCTACTCTTATTTATAGCTGGGAGAGTCCATGGGTAAATTACCATAACACTATCTAACTCAGTTTCTGACCCAACCAGGATTTAATATTGGTGGGTGCTGTTTTAACTGTATAAAGTATATGGATGACATTGTGTTAATGGCAGACAATGAAGGAGAACTACAGAACTTCATAGACAAGTTTAATAAACTAAAGAGGGAAGAAAGGAGTATCAACTAGATGAACAGAGAATACTAGGTTGTTTGCAATAGAAAAATTCCAAGTTGCGAACTATGAATTGGAGATGTCAAAATCAAACAAATATAGAAATTAAAATATCTGGAAATAATTTTTATGACAAACAGCCATCATTATCTAAATTCATAATTGTTGCCACAGCTGCAGTAAAAATTGGTATCTCTATGATCCTAATTATTTATGACATGGTGATTGTGATGATGATATATACCTGATATTAGCCACCTTCTGGCTGCAAAAAAATATTTTTCTTGTTTTGAAGAAGATAGAATATTAAATATTTTGGTAAAGATTACCAAACATAAAACTTTATTATAAAAAAAAGAAAAGTAATTTTTCATTTTAAAATTGTATAAAAAAAGAAATATCAGCATAATTCCCTTTAATCCGGGGTTTTGTAATGTATTATTTTGCTTTCAGTTATGTGAATAAAGATTACAGAAACGCAATGGTTTTGAATGGGCTGTGAACAAAGGAAAAGGTTAAGCATCACTGATCTAATGTATTGTTGTATATTGAAATAAGCGCTCTCTGATTACAGATGCATTTGACAAATTCCAGGCTTAAAAGGTAAAAACAAGATGAACTTATATCTCAGTTGATAAAGTGGATGTGGGAACTAATGTCTACATTTCCATAAATTTTTTGTTACTTACCACAGACCATTCACCAACTGTCCAGTTTCCACAAGTGATGTTACTGCAGCGAATTTTAGATACAAGTTTGGTTGCATTTTTGCAGCCTAAAATTGGGTCTTCACATACTACTTGTCTTTTCTTCCAGCCACATGGATTCTGATTGCATGTCTGAAATCAAAATAAGATATGTTTAAAAATCCCAATCAAATAGATAATTTATCAGGTGTTAATACATTCAATGCTACCTTGGACAAAAGAAGTCACATTGTCAGAAACTGAGTTTAGTTAAACAGGTGATTGAAGAACAACTCTGGAGACTAATAGATCTTATATGCTAAAGTATGAGAGCCTCCTCAGTAAGCACAGCATAGATATAAGTACTAAACTGGAGCCATTAATAAACAAAGAAAGAGAAATGACAGCAAGGCTCGGTAGCTGCAGTGTCAACATCAGGCAGCCATAGAAGAACATTAGGTTTAAGGATCTAAGATTTAGATAAAGGATTGTCCTTTGGGATAACAGCCTAGTGGATTGACATATTAGTTTGCAAATTTGCTAATATAGTAATTGTGAGTAATAGTAATTGAGACAGATAGTATGGAGGTAGATTCACTATAAGCAAGTAAAATATTCAGTTTAAAATTCCATAAAAATAATTTTGAAGAAGTTACAAGGACTCAATGGTCTCATCCTTTCCAAAACAAAATTAAGATCTGAAATTGGAAGGAAATTATTAACAGCATCTACCCTGAATCGATCATGAAAATTCAGGATGTGGAATTAGTAAATACTAAACACTTCACATACCTCTGTGTATGGACCAATTAACAGTATATTCTGAGATTAGAGTCCCAAAGAAGTAATTATTTTCAACATCTAATCTGCCAAAAAACACCTGCTTAAAAAAGGGCAATTTTTTTCTTATTCTTCTTAGGTCAGGGGTGATGGGTTGAGTTCCTAGCCATACCCATGTGGCATGGCTGAAATTTTAAAAAGTTTCTACAGAGTTTTTTTCAAAATTAATTGAAGAAAAAATTAGTATTTTATGAGTATAAAATTAAGAAAATGAAATAGAATAAAACACCTGTGAAAAGGAAATAATCAAGTCCCAAAAGTATCGACTGATTGAGTATAAAAATGGTTTGGTGCTTTTGCTAATCTCCAATACTTACATGGACCATTCTCAGAATATAAGCAACACAAAATATTCTTACTCTAATTCTTGATACATAGATAAATAGAAACAGATTGAGATAGATAGATAGATAGATAGATAGATAGATAGATAGAAGCAGACAGAAATAGACAGACAGAACTGAATAGAATTAGATAGATAGAAACAGATTGAGATAGATAGATAGATAGATAGATAGATAGATAGATAGATAGATACATATATACATCAATAGATAAAGAAGAAACTCTAATAGTTACAATGGATTGAGATACGTAGATAGAAACAGATTAAGATAGAAAGATAGATAAAGAAACTGCAACAGATAGACATATAGATAAATACAAACATACTGAGATAGATAAATAGATAGATAGATAGATAGATAGATAGATAGAATAAAATAGACTGAGATAGATAGATAGATAGATAGATAGATAGATAGATAGATAGATTCAGAAATAGATAAATTCTATAAAATGTTGTCAACTGATTAAAACTTTACTCTTGAAAATATTTTTCATGATCTATTTTAATTCTTCAGTCTAATTATACATTTTATAAACGACTCCACCACCTTCACCTTCTACCCACTCAGATCTACTCTTCTTTATTCAGAAATTACCCTACCAGCAACAACAGAACAACAAATTTATTATGGTTCAGTTAAGGTAAGGAATTCTATCCATATATTCTTTGCACATATTTTTCTCTCTTGAGAAGAATTCTAGATTCAAAACTCATCTTTTTATCATTTCCTTAGAGTGCACCAAACAAGAAAGGACTTTCAAGTTGACTTCCCCTGATAGTCTGGCAAAAGACAACCTAATTCTCTTGCCCAGCATGAAAACAAACTCTATCCTTAGTTGGACAAACAGTAGCCAGTCTTTGACCGTTCTGAACAAAATGAAAATTTGTTTACTCTCTAATGATGATCTCTCATACTAGAGCCCCAAGCAAATTCTTACATAAATGGTATATAAGATTCTTTACAGACCATAAGCTTTGTGTCACCAAAACCTTTATTATCATAGTATATACCTAGAAAATGCCATTTTACTAAAAAATGAATATATATATATATATATATATATATATATATATATATATATATATATATAGATAGATAGATAGATAGATAGATAACTAGACTCGTTTGAAAAACCCTCGAATTTTTTGATTTGCTAATCAAATCAATCTCGAGGGAAAAAAGTTTTTAAAAAAGAAAGAGCTACAAACATGAACTTCTGCCGACAAAAAAATCGCACAGATGGGTCTGAAGCCCAAAGAAAAAACCCAAAATACAAGTAACAACTAACTAACAAAAGAGCTCAATACAACCGTAGAGCAGACCTAGATACCTAGTGAGCCAGACAAACCTACCTAGGTTTTTCACCTAAACGGATCGTCAGGGAAAGTTTGGCCAAACTTTCCTGACGATCCGTTAGCTGAAACCTAGATAGGTTTGTTTGGCTTGTATATATATATATATATATATATATATATATATATATATATTGTGTGTATTTAGAATGCATTTTTTTCATTAATGCGGGTTTCATTAAATAATATAGACAAATGTTGTTTTATTTATTTTATGGTATAAACCAACGGCTTCCCATTCTTCCAGCATCTTATATGCACGAGTTTGTCATTGCTTGAAAATCTTCCATGTAAACAGAAACAAACTATCATCACTGCCTTGTCCATGTATTGCTTAATATATTGTAATGTAATTGTCATCTTTGATAATGGGTTATGTATGCCGAAAGCTTAGATAGGATTTAAAAATATGTATCAATATTGTGATTTTCTTTCTTTGTTTAATGATAATGTTATTAAACTTATCAGATGATATGAAAAGAATTTATATAAAATAAATAGACAACACTTGTCTATATTATTTAATGAAACATGCATTTATATATATATATATATATATATATATATATATATATATATATATATATATATATATATATATATATATATGCATGTTTCATTAAAAATGACAGACAACATACTACAATTAGGCTTTTATTTAATTTTTGTGGTGTTTTTTCTTTATCGGACGCAGTGTGTAGAAACTGTCCAAATTTTCTATAATTCCAAGCGCTTTTAACTATTCTTTTAGCCATTATCAAGGATTATTTTATTTTTTCAATATAATTGGGTGTTTGGGTTGTGTGTATGTTTTTATTTTTATAGAGATGTTTTATTTCCCAAACACACCACATTGTGGCCGTTTTCATTGTTAATATTAGTAAGTGTTGGCTTTTTCTTTTTTCTTATTAAGGCTTCCATTATTTTTCATCTTTTTTTACAGAGGGGTGATGTTATTATGTTTGTATTTTCCACTAGTAAGTTTTGGATGGAGTCTGGTAAGTTTGTGTGTGCATTTAAATAGATTCTAATAGAGCTGTGTTCAGATAGGTGTAACGTAAGACATCTGGATAGGCATGTAGTCATGTGACCGATGTAATTATTTATGAATTCGGTTTGATCAGTCACACAGTTCCTTAAGATGAATTTGAACTCATAATGTTCATTTGTTGTAATTTTGATTTTGCTGATGTGTTGTTATTTTGAGGATAATATTAGCTGTTTTAAATATTTTGTAGTAAATAATTAATTTGATTTTTTTATTCAGGTCATTTGGGGTATTGCATTTCTTAATAATATTTCTAAGTGAAGATTCATCCTGTTTGTAGTTAATGTGCATTTGGTTTTTGTAGAAAATATTTATGTTATTGATAGTGAACAAACAGTCAAAAATAACATATTTTCTAAATGTACGCACACACAGACATATATATGCACTTTTCATTCAATATGACAGACAAGGTTCTTTTATTTAGGTTTTTATACAATTTCTCATGTGATCTAATAATTTTTTTCTTTTCAGATGATAAATTATATAAAAACTGTCCGAATTTTCTTTTTATTCAAGCACTTTCAGCTATACATTTAGCCATTTTCAAAGATGAAATATTTTAACTGTTAAATAAGAAATAGTTTTTTGTATGTATGTTTTATGAAATGTTTTCATTTTTCAAAACATGGTCAAGTTATTGTGTCCATGTTCAATGTTAATATTATTAAGTGTTAGTTTTTGTTTTTATTAATAAGGCTTCCATTATTTTTAGCCTTTTTTTGTATGTAGATGATGCTATTATATTAGTGTTGTCAACAAGTATGTTACAAATAGTGCCCGGTAGGTCTCCATGAATATTTAAATGAGATCTGATTGAGCTATGGTCAGAAAGGTGTAGAGTGAGTCTGCATGGCAAACATGTTGTAGAGTGGCCTATATAATTATTTACGAATTTTGATTGATCAGGAATACAATTACTTAATGGGCATTTAAATTCATAAATAATATTTGCCCTATTTAATTTTGTTCTAGGAGGTGAATTATTATTTTTAACTATAAGGTTAGAGGTTTTAAATTTTTTGTAATTTTATATATATATATATATATATATAAAAGATGCATGGAACTACATGATCTACAAGCCCCTTATGATTAATATATAAATGAGCAGTTTGATTTTATCAAATGTTTTTTTTTAATTGGTATCACCTCACACAAGGCAATAAAACCACTAAGACACAAAGGATTACTGTGTGTGAAAGAATTAGGAACTGAAACATTAATAATGAGCAGGAAGAGAAAAGTGTAATAAGGACAGTAGATAGTGATTGACATTACATTTAAATCTTTGCAGATTAAACTTTGCTGGAAAGCATGGAGCCGGGAGGGCGTTCCTGAAGTGAGAAGTGTGAGGAAAGAAACTGGTTAGCATAGAATTTATGGCTACATCTGGCCAACTCAACTGTAAATGAATAAGATCTCAGAGTCAGTCTGGCACTGTGCTTAAATTCAAAATGTCTAGGTAGTGAAGGGTTCATCTGAACGATCACCATGAAATTATTTATTGAAAAGACATGTAGAGGCAACCTTACGGCGATGGGAAAGTAACATAAGCTGAGCTGCCAGATCAGGATCAATAATATTGCTGATTCTTCTTTGGATTTTATCAAGGAGCTCAAGGTAAATAGCAGGAGCAATGAACCAACCATATGCAGCAGCAATGTCCTAAGCATGGGAGGATGGTAGACATATAGATATGTAAGATAGATTCTGGAGAGAAAAATTGTTTTTCACAACACAGTGAACCAACTTTTTTAGCAGTTGACCTAGCAATGGATTCAATATAGTCTTTCAACTTTATAGAAGCCGAGAACACTAACCTGAGGATATGCAATGAGGCTGTTATTTGATTAATGTTGAAACAAAATGGAATAATTAAACCCTGAAAAAATAAATAACTAAAAACAAGAACTAGAAAAAATAAAATAAAAAAATAAATAAAATAAAATAAAACAAAATATAAATCAATAAATAAATAAACTAATTAAGTAAATAATAAACAAATTAACAAACTACAAATGACCACATGAACACAAGTAAATGTAATAAGAGTAATAAACAACAAATAATTAAGTAATCAATAATAAATAATGAGTAAAATGATGTACTAAAATAAGTAACCAAATAATCATTTTAAGTTCTCTGTGTATTGGTGCCTTAACTGTTTATTAAACTACAAATGAACACATAAACACCAGTAAATTTTATAATTGTAATAAACAACAAATAATTAAGTAATTAACAAACACTGCAGCAGAAAAGCATAACTATTTATAACCGAATAAAAGTAATTTATTAAGGACTAAAACCTTAATTAGTGAATATTTTCCTTCAAATAAGGCATTTGAAAAGTCATTATGTAAAATATGAACCAGTTTTTGTTTTTAATTATTTTTAATAAAGTTATTCGCAAATTTTTAAATTATCTTTTATAAAAATATTTTAGAATATCTATTTACTTTATTAAAAAATATTTTTTTTTACACTTTACTTTATTAAAAATAATAAAAATTGAAAAACTGGTACATATTTTACATAATGCCCTTTCATTCAGGTCTGAATGTCTGAGAAATTTCATAGAAAATATGTGTCCTTTGACAGGAATCAAACTTGTATCCTATGGAACCATCATATAGCCTGACATTCTATACAATTTAGCTACAGACTTAATCCATTTCATAATATTTGATGTCATTTGTTTACATTAATTCAAGCAGATATGAGCGTTCAAAAGAAATCATGGAAAATTTGTAGTTTAAAAACAGTAATTCAAGCTGGATAACCAGACACTTCCTCTGTAGCTAAATGGTATAGGATGTGAAGCTGTTTAACAGTTTCATGTAGGATACAAGTTCAATTCCTATTTGAGGACACATATTTTCTATGAAATTTCTTGGACATTCAGGCCAGTAAAAGTTGTTAATACTGTTTATTATAAACAGTGTATTTACTTAAATATTTGTATCTATAAAAATAGCATATAAATATATATATATATATATATATATATATATATATGTATATATATATATGAAGAA